AATTTCTTTTATAACATACATATATGAAAACATTGGAACTATAACCAAATGTCTCATTCCTTTCGCCATGATGATCCGCAGGGACCCACAGAGCGAACCCCTTTAACACAAATGATTAATGACTTCTTTCTCACAACCCTTTAACACAGATGTTTGCCTGTTTGCCTAAGATTCCATTCAACCCATAAGAATATATGCCCCAGTGCCTGGATGAATAAAGGAAGGGGCCCTAAATTAGCATAAAACCTCACTTGAGATACTACCCAGACCTAAGAAAAATTAGGTCTGGGTAATATTGCTTACACTCCAATGGCTAGAGTGGCTGAGTGGCTGAGTGCTCTGCCAGAGTGGCTAGACCAGCCACTCAGCCACTCAGCCACTCAGCCACTCAGCCGCTCAGAGTGGCTGAGTGGCTGAGTGGCTGCGTCAGCCGCTCTGCCAGAGTGGCTGAGTGGCTGAGTGGCTGGTCCAGCCTCTCTGGCAGAGTGGCTGAGTGGCTGAGTGGCTGCTTCGATTTCGCGAGCCGTGTTGCACATCCACTCGAGTTTTTTGTATGGAAGCCATACACTAAAAAAGATGATTTTAACAAATTCAATAACTACACCTTGTTCATAGTGAGGGCATGTCAGGGCAACGTCTTTTTTAACAAAAAATAATCTGGTGTATGGAAAGCACCTGAAGGAATGGAATAAGAGAGGGGTGGCAATGAAGATACTATTTTACAAAGTACCTTCACACATTCACATAGTGAAGTATAAGAAAGCGGTTGAAGATTTATAAAAAAGTGATTAGTGGTGACAAGTTTGAGAATCAAAACATATTGAAAACTATTGCTAATGTAGCCTTTGGTTTGCTTGAGAAGTCTTACAATAGAAAAACGGCCAGTAGGAGTTTTGATAATCTTAAGGAGGCATTACAGCACAAGAAAAAATATGATGGGAGGATTTACGTAATGAACGAAGAAGAGTATGAGGAATATTATAGATGGATAGAATTAGAAGAGGAATGGACTATCGAAGTTGATGAGAACAACAAACTTTTTTTAGACATGTGAATGGCGGTGCGTGTTATACAGATTTTGACTAAAAAGTCGAGGATGGCAAAACCTAGTCTGTGAAATGATTCATTTAACCAAAAGATAGAGAAGAAAAGCGAGACCGCCAAATATTATAGTCAGTGTCAGTGACCAAAGGCAGTTGATGAACGGATTTAGCTATATCAAAGAGCTACTGTTACAAAATCATAACTTTCATATGTATGATGCATATGAGTTTACGCTGTAAAGACTGATGCCTTTCAGATAGCGAAGAGGGATTTAAAGAAAGCTAAAAAACATATTGAATTTTCATAATGACATAGGAGGCAGGAGAGTGGAGGATAAGAAAGTTGTTCCTGTTCCCGAAGATGGAAAAACAACGAGATTCCAAAAATACCGATTTACAAAATCGAAAGGATTGAGGTTCAAGATGAATGGGACACAGAAGCAATTTGTAAAACAGCAATAAGGAAGAAGAGAGTCATGATTAGCGCAAATTTGGCAGGAAGCGGTAAGAGTTTCATTGGAAAGCATTTCAACGACCTAAGTTGTAATACGCTTTTTGTTGTTCCTCAAAATATGCAAAGGCAAGATGTTCCTTGCGATGCAGTCACCCAAAATACATTCTTCAGTGTTCCTGTGTGTAAGGGGGAAAGCAGGCTACCAAAGTATGATTACAGCGGTTATGATAATCTTTTTTGATGAAATCTATATGTCAAGTCCTTATATCTTGAATAAGGTAAGAGCCTTCTGCAATGAAAACCCTCATTTGATTGTAATAGGCGCAGGTGATGTCAAACAACTTCCAAGCATAGAGCCCTCCACCAACAACCAAAATGGAGAGGAGTATGTTGACAATTGCCTTGGCATAATTTTCAAATACACTATCTTTTTGCAGATGTGCAAAACAGTAGGAGGTAAAGATACAGAAGAGGGAGAAAGGAATAGAAAAAAGTTAAATGAAATCTATGATGGTTTTTGGGAAAAAGATTTGGATTGGAAGTTGTGGATTGAAAAGAATTTTAGATGCACAAGGGATGTAATGACAAGTAAGAAAAACATAGCATACACTAACATAAGATGCCAAACAGTAGCAAATGAGGTAAGGAAGAGATGAAACAAGAAAGATAAATATGAACTTGTGGAGATTTTAATATGCAGGGTTTACAAAAAGGACGACGAGGGTAAATTGAATGTAAACATAAGGTGGGAGGTTGTAGAAGTGGAGGGTAGACATGTAACCATTCAAGACATCAAAAGCAAGGAGACAAGAACCTTTGATGAAGATACTGTAGACAAACATTTTAGGTTTGCTTACTGTGCAACTTGTCACAGCAGACAAGGAACAACAATAAGAGACAACATAACAATTCGCGAATGGAACAAAGACTATTTGGTGAGCAAAGAATGGCTATGACTATGGTGTGCTGTAACCAGAACAACAGATTTCAATCATGTATATTTTTTTCAAAAATGATAAAGCCGGCGAAGAGATGTTTAAGAATTTGGTAGTTAACTATTTTAAAAACAAGGTTGAAGGTTACAAAGGACAAGACAGAAAAGGAGGAAGAGAAATAGTTGATGAATACATTGATGAACATTGGTGTTTGAAGATGTTCACGGGTTGTTGTGCAAACTGTGGAGTTAAATTTAATCTTGATACCAGAGGTGGCAAATTGTCAAGTAACTTTACAGCACATAGAGTTGATAATCGACTGTGCCATTCTATTGACAACTGCGAGGCTTATTGTTGCCACTGCAATTCTTCTTCACATTAAATTGTTATTTTGAAAGTTTAATTTGTCAAAATAGTAACCTTAATGATATAATTATGAGTAAGCAAAAAATCATAGGAAACATATATTTCGATAAAGCAGGGTTTGGTTCCAAAAACACTACTTTGAAGGATGCAAGAGAGAAAGACAAATCTATTACTATGAAAGATGTTGAATAATTTTTCAAAAAGAATGTAGAGATTAAAAAAACCGAGAGGCTACAATAGCTTTGTTGCTCCACATAACAACCATACATACCAAATTGATATACTCTTTATTTCCCCCCAAAAAAAGTTTAAAGGTAAAACTCAGCCGCTCTGACAGGGTGGCTGGGGCAGACACTCAGCTACTCAGCCGCTCTGGTAAGAGCGACTGGACCAGCCACTCAGCCACTCAGCCACTCAGCCACTCAGCCACTCTGAGTGGCTGAGTGGTTGAGTGGCTGCGGCAGCTGCTCTGGCAGAGTGGCTGAGTGGCTGCTTCGATTTCGCGAGCCGTGTTGCACATCCCCTCAAAAAAACAAAAACGGACCCAAAACAGGACTCAAAAAAGAGTAGGCCTGGGAGAACCAGAAACAGGACGACTCAAAAAAAGACCAAAAACCGATTCAAGAAAAATCAAAAAAAGAATCGAAAAAGTCAAACAAAAATCAAAACTGCAGCAAAATGCAAAAAAATCAACAACATGCAGCGAAATGGAGCAAAATGAAGCAAAATGAAGCAAATTTGTTGATTTTCCTCGTATTTTTTCTGGTGTTCCTCTTTTTTGCTCCAAGTTTGTTGCGTTTTGCTGCATATTGCTGCAGGTTTTGATTCTTTTTTGATTCTTTTTTGTTTTTTATTTTTGAGTGGGTTTTGATTTTTTTTGAGCCGTCCTGTCTGTCTCCCCCAGACATGTTTTCTTTTGAGTCTGTTTGATTTTGTGAGTTGTTTTTTTTCAGTTGATTAGATTGTTTTAACAAATCTGTTTTTGAGTATGTTTTTGGGTTTTCATTTAATTTTTTTTGGCAAAAACAACTCTGTGTGGAAGTCGTGATGTCATAACACTAACCGTTTTTCTTTGCTGTCAGGCGCTGGCCCAAGATGCTGGAGCCCACGGGCAACGTGCAAGCCAGGCGCTTAATTTTGGTAGACCACTTTCTTTGCTGCCAGAGTTGTTCGATGTTTTGTGGCCTTTTCGATCCTGTGGAACGACCGTCAAACACTGCCACACATAGTAGCAGCAAGCATACATAGTATCAGCAAAAGATTTGATAGTTACCTTGCACAGAAGACTGCAATCGCATGATCTGGTCATTTATTTCCTATCTGATCGCTTCGCTGTTGCTGCATTGCTGCATGTCGCTCGCATTGCTGCCAGGTACCTCCCCGATCGCGTGCGCCGCAGTTGACGTTGGCGGTCCTCGAAAAAAAAGGTGCGTATTTGTGCCGTATGCGCGCGCCACTGAGCTCGTCGTTTCAGGCCTTTGTCACACAACTTTGTCACACACTCTCTTTCAAACACAACTTTCAAACGCACCATCTTTCACGCACAACTTTGTCACACACTCTCTTGCACAAACAACTTTCACACACACCATCTTTCTTTGTCAAGCACCATCTTTCAAATACAGCTTTGTCACACACACACACAATTTTTTTTTATCAACTTTTCACATACATTTTTTTTTTACGTCTCGATCCTTCACTTCCTCCTTTGTCTTTCCTTCCTTCCCCTTCCCGCTGCAACATGTGTTGCTCATTACAGGAAGAAGTTGGCTTGTGGGGTTATCCGGCCCTTTAATTTTGTCCCACTGCTTTCTCACAATGTTCAGCCGCTAGCAATTCTAGAACGAAACGGATGTCAGCTCTAACGACAGTTTGCCCGGATAACTCCACGGAAATTTGCCAAACAGTTTTTGCCAATCAGACTGAGAAAAGCAGGGGGCTCGCATGGGCCTACTTGGGAGCAGAGTCTGAAAGACCCAAGGTGAGAATGCCATTTAGTTGCATGATTTTCTTCTAATTTAATCTTTGCTCAATTTTGAATTGCATGAATTACCGCAGTGTTTGTCCATCAATGTTTATGGAATTCAAAACAGTACATGGTGCGTGTTTGGATGTTTCTGACAGACTAAGGAAAACCTAATTTCCGATGTTCATTCAAAATTTCATTGTCCGCCTGTTTGTTTGAATCATTTCTGAACTTGTTGGGTGCCGGGTGTTGACGCCATGTCTACTTCAGCTGCCGCTGCAGCAGTGGCTGCAAGCGTAAGCATGAACAGTCAGAGACGCAATTCGCTAGGTGAAATGCCAAAGATGCCTTGGGTTTGGGTTTGCGATCAGCGAGCTCCGAGTCAGCCTAGAGCCTTAACCGCCTTAACCACAGTGTGGTGATGAGTGTGAGCGCCTTCGTGATTTTCATGCACGCTGACTGTCAGATTTGAGGAAACTAATTAATGTGGTTTATTGATGTCTATTGGGGGGCAGTGGGCGTTCGAATTTTTGAGACGGCCTGAACAGCTAAGGAAAATTGCCAGTTCCAAAATACTTTCAGTCTGGGAATGAGCATGTTGGAAAACTGACGTGGGAGAGCATGAAAAAATGGCTAAGCCGTGGCGTTGAACGTCAAGTGACATCAGCTTGGATTGCTGTGGAGCAACCCGGAAAAAGCGAATGGCATCTTCACGAAGTGCCAGTTCAATTGAGCAGTTCTCCTTTCAAAGACGGTACGCTTGTGGTGGTGTGCTGTGGGAATGAGTCTCTCAATCCGAACGTTTCGGGGCAGCTTCCGCCACCCTTCAAACTGCGACCATTGCAAAACCAGGCTTCGTCTGATGCATCTGTCAGAGGCCCAGGTTTTTGGCACCGTCCCAAAGACTTGAACTGATTGGCCGATTGGCCCTGAATCTACGGTTTGCCCGGAAGTCTTGCGTTTAAGGCTGTTTAAGGTATCATTTTTGGTCCTCCCTGCTGGTATTTCCATTCGGAGAAACAGTCTTTCGCTCCAAGGTATTTCTTTTCTTTGTACTGCTACTTTCGTTTTGCTCCTGGTAACGCCTCCTACTATCCACTTCCATTGTCTCATTCCACAAGCCTTGCCTGCTTTTTGCTACAGTACATTTGCAGTCACTCAACTAATGGGGTGTGAGTAAAGTTGTGTGGTCGAGACAGAGATGAAGAGGGCACTGTCCATCAGCTCATCTCCCAGCCCCATAGCCTCAGATCATCTCAGATCTGGTTGAGACATGTCGAGACTGAGGTCTTAGGGGGAAAGATGTGGAAGTCAGCGCGGTCCAGAGTTTTGGCCACAATGGCTTTCAGCCAGCCAGCAACGATCTTTGGAAAGAAGCTCTCGAACGGAAGTGACAGGTCTCTTGCAAGCGCCGCAAGCGCTGCTTCAAACCGTGGCCCGGTGGCAATCAGAGGTTGGTTTCTATTCTTTGTCATTTTTTTTTCATCTTCGTTCTTTGAATTGCAGCGTGCCAACAGTTCATTGTACGGGTATCCGGGAAGCGTCAGGAGAAGCTTTCGCCCCAATACCGGAGGACAAAATGCAAAGAGAAACAGAACGAGAAGTTGCAGAGGCAGAACCGAATGTTCGGCCACTGAAGCCGGCCATCAAGAAAGGGAAGGAGACGAAAGCGATCAAAGAAGTCAGGACAGAAAGAGGGAAGCTGGGGAAGACCAAGCCACGACTCAAGTTCGAGGGACATGAGGAGGATGCGATGGATGTGCCTGCTGAGTGTGACTTGCCTTTCAAGCTTTGGTCCGTTGTACAAAGTTGAACAGCAGACGAGCTACTTTCATCTAATTTCAATGATTTTCTATATATTTGAACTGAGGCCATGACCTGAATGATGGCTTTAATGCTCCGGTGAAGCCATGGCTTTTGTCTTGTGGACCTGCTGCTCCAACAACGATACTGAGCTCTCAGGGAGCGGAGGCTTCAGTTTTTCCCCCTCTCATTTTCCAAGCAATTCTTGGCTTTCAAAGATCCATTTTCATCGTTTAGCTTGATCTCGAAGCTGCGACTGGGTGCCAGGGAATGCAGGGAAATGTGCTGCAGTAATAGCAGAGCAGGCGGTAGATATACATCGAAAGGGTGGCAAAATGGCAGGCAAGCATTGGTTGACGTTCTAGTTTCAAAGGAATTGATTTGAGGATATTTGAGCATTGAGGGTCGTTGAGGCCACTATACATGCGCCTTTGAGAGTGCTGATGCAAGTCTTTTGGACTGGAACATTATATCTTGAGATATTTTGCTTATTCAGGTCTGTGTGAGTCGTTTGGGCTGAGCTGAGGATGACCCGAGCCACGCAGACTGAACCCCTGAAGGCCCAGAAGTGATTCGATCATTTCAGAATCCTTCCCTTGAACCTGTGTGACAGAGCCCTTTTTTACAGAGCCTGGATGTTTGCTTGAAGGTGCGCGGGTCTTGCAGCCGCTGTTGTCGTTGCCGCATGTGCTGTTGCGAAGCTTGTATTGAAGAATCAATTTATATTATAGAGAGAGATATAATATAGCTTGTCTCCCGCCAGTTAAAATGCATCTTCCCAGGAGCAATGTTTCGTTTGTGAACCAACATGCCGACCTGACAAGCTAAGGATGGATATGAAGACAGTGATATCCTTCATGTACAGTAATTAGCAAAGAGAATAACATTTTTCGAAGTGCATGTGCTCTGCCCCTACAGGCAAGCGCTGCCTAAATTCATGCACGGCCCTCGCTCTTAGACTGGTGAAGGGACATTGAACGAACCGGAATAGGTGCTTCGCCGAGGCAAAGAGCGGACAATTTGAAGTCCTAGTGGCCCAGCGTTGCTGTTTCCCACACCAGTGGGAATATCCAGCAAAACTGGCACTCGGTGATAAGTAGAAGGGCAAGGAAAGGCGTTACACATGCCCCTGCACAGGAGCAGCGACTTGCAGCCTCCCGTAGTATCTTTCGTCTTGACAAGGCACAATCCAGGATTTCACCAATTGCCAATGTGCAAAGCACTTGGCATCAAATGTGCCCACTGATCTCATCATGACGTATCAAAAAGCAAAAAACATTTGAGACCATGGTTGTACATGGCCGTGCCCTACAGCCTTGCTTTTGATGGTTGCTGAATCATGCTGTGACATGCTGGTGCCATTGGTTTGCATCCAGCGGTTTCTAGGAAAACTTCGGGCGTTGCCATGGCAACCAATTGGTCCCAAAGTGATGCAGAGGCTCTAGTGACTCTAGTGACTCTTGTGCAGCCTTTTCATCCTTTCATACTTTTACACTGTTTATTCTTCTCTGACTTCTGGGGGTTTTGATATCTATTGATCTTAACGTGGTCTTGTCTTGTGAGTTGCGTGCTAGCTCCATCTCTTGAAGGTGACTCTGAAATTCGATTTGGACAGCTCAGTAGGCTGGTAGCTCAGACATGGGGAACAGTGAGAGGCACGCCCGAAAAGAATAGTGACAGTTTGATTCTGTCACAATAACGTTCCTACGGCCAAAACCAAGCAACTTCTCCAGCAGATTGTGTTTGCCTTTCCTCACCTTGATGTGATATCTGTGATTTCGTTACCTCTACCGGACTCATCCCGCCTATCCCTGGGGTTCCACAGCAAGGAAAAGAGCAGATCAAGGTGAAGATTGATGCCGCTCATTTGTCAGTCCCAACCCCAAGTGTTTGATGCTATGTGCCAGACTGTGCGAACCTGGTTGCAACATTGAAGAAACATTTCTGTAGCGGAACCTTATGGAATGCAGCTGCTGTGACTCAAGCCAAACCCATGGAGTTGTGGAATGCCCTTGGCAGAGTACGAGGCAGAAATTTCAGACCCTTGAATCTCTCAGACACCCGAATCCAGAGATTTGCGTTGCCCCCTAACCCGAGCATTGCAGAAAAGGAAGCCTGCGTTGATCTTGCCCGCCACTGTCGCCATATGCAAGGGTACACAGGAACATATACTGCATATTATGTGTATATACACACACATATATATATACACATGCCGTGTATATAGTATATACACTAGTGCAGCTATTACATATTTGTCCTAGCCTGCTTTCAATGATCCAAATTTGACAGCTCTTGAAGATGCGAAGTAATGAGTAAAAAGGTATTTGTGGCATTTTCAACCAAACTTCAGCGATATCAGCTGCCAGGTGACGGGACGTATAGCAGAGGGACGATTTGGAACTGTGTTTGCTGCCTTTCATCGTGCAAGTGGAAGGAAGGTGGCCGTAAAGAAGATCAGAGCCAGGAAGAATTTGCCTGGGCTTGACTTTGACCCATGGTTCAAGAGTGCGGAGCGGGAAAGAGATGTGTTAACCACTGTCAAAAACGACAATGTCATTGAACTACTGGAGCACCTGGTGGAGCCTGATTCAGCTATGGCAGTTCTGGTTTATCCCTATTTGGCCTGGGATCTAGCTACATTGTCGGGGTCTCAGTGGCAAAGGGTCGCGATGTCGTGTTGCAGATGCAGTGCAAGAGTGCGGTCTGCTGTGACTGGATCTCACCAGGCTTGAGAAGAAGAGGCCATTGAGTGCTGGGATCATCAAGTGCTTGATGCAGATGTTTCTTGAGGGCGTGTCCTTCCTACACCACCACAATGTGGTGCACCGAGATCTGAAACCGGCAAATTTGCTGGTGGTGCCTTCACTGAATTAGACCCAAAGGTGCTGTGACACCGTGTGGCACGCCGTGACATTCCATTCTTGACCCCCCAAAAAAACCGCTTTGGAGTTAGTTCTGTGAGTTGTATGGTTGGTGTGTGACGCATTGTGACGGGCTTCAGGATGAACATGGCCAGCTCAAGGTGGCAGACTTTGGCTCTGCAAGGTTACTTGCAGCATCGCAGTGTTCCAAAAACGGGTCGGAGTAGTTGGGAGAGTCTGGGAGAGTTTTTTTTTTCAGATTCAGTTTGTTACTGTTTGTTACTCTTGTGTCCCACCGTGTGCAGAAGTGCGAACTTGCAGAAATGTAGGATTCAATTCATCTGGAAAATAATTAGAAGCATAGGTGTAAGAAAGCACTGTTTTTTTGGAAGAAAGTACGGCCTTGCAAGCACATGCTGATTTGCTTGCGGATAGTGTCATGCCGTTAAACATTGTTGTTGTTTTTCAGCAATGAAAACAATGAATCAGAATCCAGGAAGTCAGTCCTTTAGAAAGTTTAGGGCAAGTTGTTCCTTTATCATTTTTCCCCAACAGCGTAAGCTAATGGGGTCTTCAGCCCAGAACAGCTCCGGTGTGCACTGGTGCAGGCCCCGGGTCAGGTTCAACGAGGTTCTGGAGAAGGTTTTGAAGGTTCCGGAGAAGGTCTGGAAGGCTTTGGTGCAGAGCCAGGTCAGGTTCAACAGGGTTCCGGAGAAGGTTTCGAAGAAGGTCTGGGAGGCTTTGGTGCAGAGCCAGGTCAGGTTCAACAGGGTTCCGGAGAAGGTTTCGGTGAAGTTCTGGGAGGCTTGCTCAACAGGCTTCTATAGAGAAGGTTCCGAGAAGGTCTGGGAAGCTTTGGTGCAGAGCCAGGTCAGGTTCAACAGGGTTGCGTAGAAGGTCCGGAGAAGGTCGGAGGCTTTCCAGGTCAGGTTCAACAGGGTTCCGGAACAGGTAAAGCCAGGTCAAGTTCAACAGAGTTCCGAAGAAGGTTCCGGAGAAGGTCTGGGAGGCTTTGGTGCAGAGCCGGTCAAGTTCAACAGGGTTCCGGAGAAGGTTCCGGAGAAGGTTGCGGAGAAGGTTCCGGGAGGCTTTGGTGCAAAGCCAGGTCGGGTTTTGGAGAAGGTTTTGGAGCAGGTCGGGGGGGCTTTGGTGCAGCCAGATCAGGTTCAACAGGGTTCCGGAGAAGGTTCCAGCGCTTGGCTTCGCAGCACGCTTCAGAAAGATTTGTAAAACATAAAACGTTGCGGCTGCCAGGGATACCACCGAAGCTTATTTGCAGAAGCCCAGTATCATCGAGTCTCTATCTAGCCACAGTTGCGAATGTAGAAATGACGCTGCTGCTCAAGACTCATGAACCTAGTTGGACTCCTAGGACAATTCGGAGGACTGGCTAGGGAGGCAATAACCTCTAACTTTTGGGGCCTTGCTTGTCCGTTCCATTGCCAGGGCACCTCAGTCCCCACCATCCTTGCTTCATACTTGCTTGGACTTTTCTCTGGCATCCTTCTTTGCATTGGATTTTGGATTCTCCTGATCTCTTCCCATCCTGCCTCTGCATCTCATCAATCATCACCTGTTCCCTTCGTCAGGGTTCCAACTGACCAGTTGAGGAGGAGGCTGGCAAGCTATAGGGCCTTGTATGAGCAATCAGGCTGATCAGATTCCAGGTTTAGTCCAAGCTCTCAATCGGCTCAGCTTGGCCATTGAGGGCCAGAATCGTCGGCAAGATTCCGTGGTTTCAGAAGCAGAAGGAGTTACCACTAGCTCCGCCTTGTCCTTGGAGGAAAGATTGGCACGTGTGGAGTACAATGACTACGAAGCATTTGCCTTGCTTGTACCTCCTTGCCCTGCTCATCTTCTACGTCTTTGCGAGCGTTTGGTGGAAGGGCAATACAGCTCAGAGTTTCGAGCTAGAAGAGCCTGGGAGTCTGGGTTCTGGGCTGCTTTGGCCTTGCAAGGTCGAGTGCGGGTACCAACACCAAGAGTTTCATTGCCTCGTGATCTCAAGAAGACCGTCTACGTGGTCTTGCGCTCTGCTGCGGTGCAGAGCCCCACTCGAGTTTCTCGAGTGTCAGATCTCTATCGACTGGTTGGCCGCATCAACGAGAACAACCTTGCAGTGTTCCACGGCTTTGCATCACTTGCAGAGGCAGAGACGTACTGTGAAAGTGCTGGTTTCAGGTTGCCATGTCAACACTCCTTCCAGTAGATGCATCAACGAGTGCAGACCCGGGAGTTCCAGTCCGGGTGTTGTTCATATGGCCTCCAGACGAGGAGAATTTGCAGCATCAAGTATCAAGTGCAGGCCTATGTGTTTCAGAGGAGAGCGGGAGGCATTTTGCTGGTTTTCCCCGACCATGTTATGGAAGAAGAGTTCCTCCGTTTGCATGCAGTCCCCTCCGAAGAGGGGGGAGAGCCTTTGGTGGGGCCCTTCCAGAGGTTCAGAGTTCCCATTATGTTGTCTGGAGAAGACGATGTTTTGGTTCTATCAGAGGAGTTAGGTTCAGTGGTGGTTATGGATATGAACCTCCCAGGGGCACATTCTGTGCTCATGTCCTTTCCGGAAGAAGGCGAGGAGGTGGATTTGATCAATCATTTTGCATATTCAGACAGCGAGGCTCGGCCAGATTTTGTGGCCCTATCAGCGAAAGTCCGGGAGTGGATTTCATTGGCAGAAGGAAAGGAGCGTTTGGTTTTCTACCCCGCAGCAGAAGAAGAGGAAGGACGCCCGTCTCCGACAGCAAAGAGAGCTGCCCGCCCAAAGGCTTCTCCAGGTACTTCTACTCAGCCAGGAAAGCAAGGAGGCATTCCAAAAGCTGGACCAAAGAAGCACACAGTGGCAAGCCTCGCGCAGCAATTGGAGACAGTCCTCGCAGTTCTTCCAACCATAACCGATCAGCTGACTTCACTGACCCTGAGGCAGGAGGCAATGGAGAGAGGAGCAGATCAACAGGCAGCTCCTTCTTTCCAACCCATCACCACCACCAAAACCGCCCAGCCAGTATCAGCGTTGCTGAAGGGTTCTCCAACACAAACGTTGGCAGGGCTATCCAGGCAGTTGGGCCCCCCAAGAGTCAAATCTGTAGCAACTCACCCCGGCCGGCAACAGCTGCAGCAAGAGGCAGAGGACGAGCCCTACTACGACCCTTTGATGATGGAGGGAGCGCCAGATCCTGGCCCCCCTATGACTCAGGCCATTGTCCAGCAGAGCCGGGCTTTGGCACTACTGGTAGCACAGATGCAGGCCACTGGGGCAGACCCTATGTCAGACCTTTCCTCTTCCATTCCCACAACGGGAGTCAAGGGCACTCTGGCCCGAGAATAGCTTCAGAAGGAGCTATCCCAGAGCACCGGGCAGTTCTATTTGAAAGGATGTCAAGCTATTCAAAGGCGTGAGCCCCACCTCAAAGTTGGCTTCAAGTCTTTCAGAAGTGGGAGACGTGTCGTTGTTGGCATGCCTCGAGCCCTATGGGGGCTTCGGGCAAAACAGAGAGCTTGGTATGATTCAATGGTCGCTGGCACACATCTTCGACGCAGCGGCAAAGGAAGAATGGCGCCTCGTTCGAGACCATGTGGCTCTCACGGCGGTGATGGTGGAGCAAGCAAGCTTGGATGCCAACAAGTGGCACTTGGCGTGGCTCCTCCGTGTAGTAGACGATCCACCCCAGAATCTGTGGCTCAGCCGGGGCCAGACTGCAACAGGAGCCCGCCGACCATTTGCTCCACTATGTGCCCAGACTTGGACAACGACAGCTTTGGCTTACATGAAGGAAGCAGATGTCCTTTACTCAATTAAAGGACCGGATAACCCCACAAGTCAACTTCTTCCAACAAGCAACAAAAGAAAGGCAAAGACGGCATGGGGTAAGCAAGAAAGAGAAAAGAGATGGTGAAGGATTGGTGTGGAGTAAGTTATGTGTGGACGAGTATGTGTGAGTAAGTTGTGTATGGATGAGTTGTGTTTGTGTGTGAGGTGTGTGCGTGGGCGTGTATGTGTGCGTGCGTGCGTGCGTGTGTGTGTGTGTTTGTCTGTGTGTGTGTGTTTGTCTGTGTGTGTGTGTGTGGGTGTTTGTCTGTGTGTGTGTGTATGTGTGTGTGTGTACGTGTGTGTATGTGTGTGTCTGTGTGTGTGTGTGTGTGAGTGCGGGTGTCGGCGTGGACCATGTACGCGATGAGGTCAGTACCTGGCAGGTAGTATCAGAAGATGCGATCACGCTGAAATTGCAACAAAACAGCTGTCCATGGGCAGTGCAGAATTTAGCCTACAACGCTCCTGTTCCTCTTGGCTTGTCAACTACTGCCCCACGACACCGGTGCAGACAAGCGCATGAGAAACAAACACAGCTGCACCTTTCGAAGTTTTGCCGCTATGATTCATCGGATAACGCATTTTCTTCTCGCATCAACTATCGCACAGTGCTTCAATGTGGCCACAGGAGCTGTGGAAACTACCTTGCCTCAATCCATCGGATGACACACTTCCTTCTCGAACAACTGTCGCAGTGTTATAAACTCTCTTCAAGAGGAGAGGCATCATCTTTGCACGGTGCATCAATGTGCCCACACAAGCTGTTAACACATACTTCACTATCGCAGGCATCATCTTCGCACATTGCATCAATGCGCCCACGACAGCTGTTGACAGTGTACCATCCCATGACATGAAGCTCTCGCGACATTTGCCTTCCTGGCATCATAA